GGGATAGTGGCAAATGACCCCCGGAGAGGAATCCGCAGTGGATCTTCATGATCGGCTCACACCCCGCATTCGCCTTGGAAACGTTCTTACTTCTATGCAATTTTGTCCACTCGGAAACTTCTCCTTTTTTGCCTCATCTGTCCCCATCTTGATATTCCATATGTCTCTCACAGTTTCAGGACTACTCGGTATTCATTGCTCGGAAAAGTTGTTTTGTAGCTCAAGTATGCAATCGTGCAAACCCTACCGGGAAAACAAACTGAAGTCACTCGAGTTGTGACCATGGTCCTGAAAGTTGAGAACAGCAATATGCCATCTTATCACACTCTAACTACCCCGTGTATTAGTATAAATAACATTCAAATCTCTATATACTGCTGCGTTCGATGAGTGAGTGTACTGTCTCCGGCAATGTTCGCGCGGAAGCAGTGGTCGGATAAATATCCGAACAGCGCTAGCATTTCCGAGCCCTCCATCACGGCATCGGACATCGTCTTCATTGAACAATAGAGTATCTGGGACTTATTTAATTACTGACATTTCTTCAATGATCGATCTAAGTTGCTCAAGGTTGAATCTGCTTACTAAATATCTTGTCTATGTAACAACAAAAACCCAAAACTCAAGATGCTCTCTACAATCGCACCACAACCACCCACACTACAGGAGCCTCTGTCTAAAGGCGATGTCACTTTGCCTTTGGAATCCCAAGAGCCTTCGACAATTGACGAACTTGTTCGCCAGCGTGCATCACTCGGAGCCGCACAACCCATCATCTCCTATCCGAGCACCGGCATCGAATATGTGGACTATCCACTGCAGCAACTGGATGTCTTCGCATTTCGTGTCTCCAAGGTGCTATCAGATCGAATTCCGCCTCGGAAATCATCAGCTGAAACTCCCAAAGTCATCGCTCTACTGGGACCATCTGACCTCAACTACCTGGTGATGCTGCTTTCCCTGGCTAAGCTGAGTCACAGTGGACTGCTCCTATCAACCAGAATATCCGTGGACGCATACGTCTCGCTACTGGAGAAGACCGGGTCGAGACATATTTTCATTCACAGCTCATTCCGAGACACCGCTGCAGATATCAAGAAGCGGGTACCTGAGCTTGTCATTGATGAGATTCCGACTGAGGAAAACTATCATTATCCCATTACAGAGGATGTTGACACGAACCTGGTCCCGCACCTTGACCCGAAAATCGAGTCCAAGCATATCGCATGGATTATTCATTCCAGTGGCTCGACTGGACTTCCGAAGCCTATTTTCCACACCCAATCTGCTGCACTGAAGAATTACTCGGGACATATGAACATGTCCGGGTTCGTTACTTTGCCGCTGTACCACAACCATGGAATTAGCTGTCTCTTCCGGACAATTCACGCTAAGAAACAGCTGCATCTCTATAATGCCAATCTTCCATTGACCAGGCAGTATCTGCTCGAGATTATGGGATCGAATGAATTTGAAATATTCTACGGTGTCCCTTATGCGCTGAAGTTGTTGGCTGAGACACAGGAGGGAATCTCCGCTTTGGCTAAGCTTAAGGCCGTCATGTTCGGAGGGTCGGCATGCCCAGACTCTCTGGGCAACTTGCTGGTCGAAAATGGTGTTCATCTCATCAGTCACTATGGATCGTGAGTGCTTCTCAAACGCATTGGAATATTTGACTAACACACATGCAGAACTGAGACCGGTCAGCTCATGATGTCCACCAGGCCTCGCGAAGACAAGGGATGGGACTGGCTCCGCCCCTCTGACTATGTCAAGAAATTCTTGAGATTTGAAGAGCGCTTTCCGGGAGTATTCGAGCTAGTATGTCTAGATGGCTGGCCCTCTAAGGTCATGACCAACCGACCTGATGGCTCGTACGCCACCAAGGACCTGTTTGTCAAGCATCCCACCATGGAGGCATACAAGTACTATGCTCGTCTGGACGATACAATCATCCTATATAATGGAGAAAAGGTCAACCCACTTGACCTGGAAGGACGAGTCCGGCAGCGCAGCACTGTTGCCGAAGCCATTGCGTTCGGAGCAGGCAAAGCTCAGATTGGACTGGCTGTCGTCCGTGCACCTGGCACCGAGTCACTTTCTGATGAGGCGGTCATTGACAGTATTTGGCCAGCTGTTGAGAAGGCTCATGAGGCGCTACCTGCGTTCGGACAGCTCTCGAAGAACATGGTCCGAGTGTTGCCTGCAGACACTCCCTACCCTCGGACTGACAAGGGCACCATCATCCGTCAAGCCTTCTACAAGAACTTCCAGCCTCTGATTGAAGAGGTTTATGCCGCTGTGGACGCCATGACTGGCACGCTAGTTCTGTCTGAGTCTGAACTGAGGGACTTCCTTAAGAAGCAAATTCTGCAAATTCTGCCCCTCAAGGACACCAGCCTGTTGACAGATGACGCCGATTTCTTCTCACTGGGCATGGACTCCCTACAAGCCAGCCAACTACGCACTGTGCTGGTCCAGAACTTGGACACCAAGGGCCAAAAACTTGGGCTCAACATTGCCTTCGAGCAGCCCACTATTGCCGTGCTCGCCCGTTTCCTGGCCGCTGTACAGTCCGGAGAAGCCCTTCCAGATTCTCAGCCGATCCCTGAACAGATGCGTGCACTCATCTCGCAATTCAGCCACTTTGAACCCCACGTTCCACATCCCAATGACCTTTCCGGTCGTTATGTCGTAAGTCACCTTCACCATCCTAACCCGCCCACCCTCCTAACAACCACAGGTCCTCACCGGCGCCACCGGCTCCCTCGGCAGCCACGTTGCACATCAACTCGCGCAGAACCCCTCTGTGAACAAAGTCTACTGCCTTATCCGCGCCTCCTCTCCCATCGAAGCCTACAAGCGCCTCCACGACGCTCTTCACGCACGCCACCTCTACAACCCCCTCTCATCTTCCTCCAAAGCCAAGCTCATCGCCCTCCCCGCCCCAGCACTATCGAACCCAACTCTCTCCCTCCCGGAAGAAACTTACAACACTCTCCTCACCGAAACCACTGACATCATCCACTGTGCCTGGCCCGTCAACTTCAACCTCCAACTCAGCAGTCTAGCACACGACACTCTCCCCACCTTACACAACCTCCTCACTCTAGCCCTAAAAGCCCAGCGCCCCGAACCCGCCACCTTCAACTTCTGCTCCTCCGTCAGCAGCGTCGTCAACAGCACCGTCTCCCCCATCCCGGAATCCCTCCCGGACTCCCTCACCGCCGCGCAGTCCATGGGCTATGCGCAGTCCAAGCTCATCGCAGAACACATCTGCGCCAACGCCACGCCCTACCTCGATGCCCGTGTGCTTCGTATCGGGCAGATCATCGGTGACACTAAGCACGGGGTGTGGAATGCCACGGAGGCGATTCCGCTGATGCTGAGGGCTGCAGTTACGGTGGGGGCGTTGCCGAAATTGGATGAGAGGATGCGGTGGGTGCCGGTTGATGTTGTTGCTGGGGCAGTGATGGATATTACGCTTCACCAAGGGGAAAGAGAGGGGAGGAAGAAGGGGGTGGATGATGTGGAGGTGTATAATATTCTGAACCCGTACAGCTTCCATTGGACAGAGGATCTACTTCCTGCTTTGAGGGCTGCCGGGTTGAAGTTTGAGGATGTGGAGTTCGGGGAGTGGATTCGGCGGGTCAGGGATGTGGCGGATCCGGAGAGGAATCCGCCGGTCAAGTTGGTCGGGTTCTGGGAGGGGAAGTATGGGAGTCAGAAGCCGTTTAGGGGGTTGGAGTTTGTGACGGACAAGGCGAGGGAGAGGGCGGAGGGGTTGAGGGGGTTGAGTGTGGATGGGTTGGAGGAGGGGTTGGTGGGCAGGATGGTGGAGTGGTTTAGGGAGGTTGCGTGGGTTTGAGGTAGTAGTATGATATATGGTATCAGTCAGTGGTAAATGTGCTTTTCAGTTGGATTTGCTGGAATTGCCTGTTTTGTGATGATCATGTTATGGATATGTGACTCAAGTGCGAAGTAGATGCAAGATCTAGACTATTTACTTGGTAGTAGGATCGGACATCAGTGAATGCACAGTATGCTGGTTAGGGTTGAATTTTATTTGCACAGTCACTTCGGATTATCGTATGCTTTCATTGCTACAGTTCCTTGCTGCTCAGATACTGCGTGGAGTAGACTATGCCAATAATATTAGTCAAAATATTATCACGGTAGTAATCCCATGATCCGCCACGGGCTGGTGCTGGCGTAGATATATATAAAGACTAGGGGTGGACCTAGTAGGTTATATATAGTCGACTAGTCTTTGAACTCAAGGTTCGATCACTATACGTCCAGTACAAGATGTTCCCACAATATACCAATTTGATAGACACTGAATGATCTCATCTTATTTCGAGAAGAGATAGAGAGCCATGTTCTCATACACAGTATGCATGTACGCGTGATAGGAATAACTAGGAGTGCCATATGACCGCAACCCCGGCATGGAGCGGTCACCACTGGCAATATTTGACTGCGAGTAAAAGAGGCATTGGATTGAGTGGATCAGCAGTGTGCATGAACCAATGGGGTCTGGCACACGTTCTTGTGGTGATCGATCGATTATTTCAAGTGACTGGAATGTTCTTATCCCAAACAGGAAATCAGCTCATCATGTGATGTAGAAAGCGGTGAGCCTCTACCACGTGACGTGGCAGGATCCACAGCGGTGAGCCGCGGCAGATCCGCCTTCTTGATGTCTCTGATTGGCTGCGGGAAAAAGTCAGTAGCAGAAAAAAAATAAGAGCAGCGGGAAACGGTTGCCATCGAAGCGGCGGGAGGTCTGCCAGCATCAAAACTTTTCCCTTCTTCCTCTTCTTCCTCTCCCCTTCACTTGCTTTTCCTCGTCCTTAACACGCTTTTCCGGGTAGACGATCTTTCTTTCTTTCCCTTGCATCATTTCTTGACCATCCATTCTTTGGTCTGATTTTTCTTCCTCTTCTTTTTTCTTTACTATTATTATCTTGTTCGCATCTGTATAATCTCTTGTCAAGATGTCCGGTGTTACGCCCGTTGCTGTCTACGCCCTGCGCGTCCCCGCCAATGGCGCTCTGATCCCCGCCGTTCCGGAGTTCTCTGCCATGGTCAGTAGCCAAATTTGCAGCCATTGAGCCCATTGTATCCCCGTTTCTAACCGTTTGCGACAGTTCCGTGTCAGCATGGCTGCCATTGACCCCGATGAGGCTCCCGAGTACGAGGACGGTTTCGACTCCAACAAGCGCCCCCGTGCTACCCTGAAGCTCGTGCGCGCTCCCCCTGGTCTCGACCTCGAGGGCGAGGACGATGATGACGAGGACTGGGAGGATGACGAGGATGAGGATTCCGAGGACGACGAGGAGGTCAACGGTGGTCCCAGCGACAAGGAGAAGGCTCGCAAGCTCAAGCTGGCTGCCGCTCGCAAGGAGCTCGAGGATGCCATGGATGAGGATGATGACGAGGATGAGGACGACGAGGAGGGCGAGTTCGACCTCAAGGCCGCCATCTCCAAGCTGATCAAGGGCAAGGCCCCCGCCAACGATGACGAGGAGTCTGATGCCGAGTCCGATGAGGGTCTTGAGCTTGACGAGACTGTCATCTGTACCCTGGACCCCGAGAAGGTATGCGAAACTTCAGAATCTTCTAATGCGAGTATGCGCGCTAACCCCCCATGTAGAACTGCCAGCAGCCTCTCGACATCGTTGTCAACGAGGAGGAGCCCGTCTTCTTCAAGGTTACCGGTACCCACACCATCTACCTGACCGGTAACTATGTCATGCCCACCGACGACCACCACCATGACCATGATGACGAGGAGTCCGATGAGGAGGACTACGACCTTTCTCCCGATGAGGATGAGCTCGACATGGAGGACCTGATCGGCGAGGATGACGAGAGCGATGACCTCGATGACCTGGAGAACCCCCGTATCACCGAGGTCGACAGCGAGGAGGAGGAAGCCCCCAAGCTCGTTGAGTCCAAGCAGACCAAGGGTAAGGGCAAGCGCGCTGCTGAGCCCGAAGAGGCCAAGCCTGAGCCCGCCCTCAGCAAGAAGCAGCAGAAGAAGCTGAAGAAGAACAACGGCGAGGCCGCCCCCGTTGAGGAGAAGAAGGAAGCCAAGGAGGGCAAGGAGGCCAAGAAGGTCCAGTTCGCCAAGAACCTTGAGCAGGGCCCGACTGGCTCCACCCAGCAGAAGCCTGCCGAGAAGTCCACCGGCACCCTGGGTGTCAAGGAGGTCAAGGGCGTCAAGATCGACGACAAGAAGCTGGGTCAGGGTGTCGCCGCCAAGGCTGGTAACACCGTTGCCATGCGCTACATCGGCAAGCTCGAGGACGGCAAGGTCTTCGATGGTAAGTCACAAGTCCTATAATAAGAGCAGAAAGTTCTGGTGCTAACTGTTTGTGTAGCCAACAAGAAGGGCAAGCCTTTCACCTTCAAGCTCGGCAAGGGCGAGGTCATCAAGGGTTGGGACATCGGTGTCGCCGGCATGGCTGTCGGTGGTGAGCGCCGCATCAGCATCCCCCCTCACCTCGCCTACGGCAAGCGTGCTCTTCCCGGCATCCCCGCCAACTCCAAGCTGATCTTCGACGTCAAGCTTCTCGAGATCAAATAGATCTGAGTTCCCCTACTAACATCTAGCTGTCTCTGTCTGTTACTCCATTTGGGTTTGCTTCACCGGTGTTTGGGGGTTTGTTCAATCTGACATCAGTCCTGTGATATCCGACTTGTTTTTCTCTTGCACAGCCTTCCGATGCATATTGGCAGGGATGAGGATATTGCAAGCCATCCAACTATCTTTGTCTAATAAAAAGTGTTTGGTTTGATTCATTTGGTGCCGTTCTTGCTATCGTAGTGGATCTGTAGATGTTCATGTAGACGTTACTCTGTTCCTGCCCTAAATGTGCGTTGTCTTCGTCCCGTTGTGCCTGCCGTGGATGAAGCCCTCTGTACCACACCCTGCCTTGTAATACCTTTCACTATCACTCTCATCTGTCCATAAAGATGTTAGACTGACACATGCAGCATCTGACTCCAACATTGCTCTCTGGGGAATTACCATTACCGCAAATATCCCCAATCTTTTCCATTCATACCACTCTCTTTCGCTAAGATACTATATCAACCCTCTTCAGGAAGCGCATGATTTATTCACTGGCCTGACACACTCAGTCCATGGATCGTACATCGTGATGATCGTCCATCTCACGCCCGACACCATCCCTTCCACTCCCCGTGGCAGCCCAGCACACCCAGACCTCACCATGGAGGCCACTGTGGAACTCTCCGGCAGCGCCTCAACCATCTCAGCCGATGCGGAGTATCAGGTAGCCCAACACAAAAGCAACGGAATCCGGGATCGCATCAAGCAACGGAGCTCTAGAATCCTCTCTTTATTGGGGCTTCGAGGCCCCAGCGGTGGTAGGGCTGTGGATTTTGGTGAAACAAACATCTGAAGGCTGACGTGGGACATAGTATTGAAAACAGTGACCACGCGTGAAACTACTGCCCCGCAGAAACCTTCGAGCGAGAGCAACCCATCACAGTCTTTTCATTCTCTTCCAGCTGACATCCGAGCCCCATCTAGCAGCACCGCCATGGAGGAAGAGGAAGGCCGTGAGGGCCTGCTGACTTGCATCACCCACAGCTGCACGACTCCATTGCCTGAGACATTTATGACATCTGCCACTCCGAGGGAGGCAGTCTATCCAGAACAATCAGGCGATACAGCAAGAGCACGGAAGTCGGAGATGCCTGAGCTACAGAGCGGTTCAGTAGCCGCGGTCAAACGAAGCAAGTCAACGCCCGCTGTTCTGACTAGTATGGTGTCTACAAAACTGTCCACGACATTCGGTAATCCCACTGTCATTCGTCGCTCGCATCTTCGTTCGCCGCTTAACATAATGCCAGTGCATTATCCAGCTTCCTCACCAGGTCCAAGCAGACTGGAGGAGAGCCCCAATGACAGCTCGAGTCCGTCGACATCTCCCATAAGCAGTGTGTCTCCGTTGGGTACACAGTCCACTCCTCCCACTTCTGAGGACCCATCACGGGGTTCGAAACAGGCCCTTGGCGGTCCAGCCAAAGCTTTACCACATTCTTCTCCTTCAGCCCATTCGGTGGAAGAAGCTTTGAGCTCGACCGAAGTTTCAGGGACGTCGCCGTCGATTGTTACAGTCGAAGCTGCTGCCAATGCCAAGGTTTTCTTCGAGACCTACTTTAACAATGTCTTCTGCGGGACAGACCCTCGTTCACAGCGTCGCCAGGAGCTGGAACAATACATGTATGGACTGCCACTGAGCCCCGAAGAACGAGCACGCATCTGGGACAACTGGATTACCCAGGAGCGCCACTACCTCCGCCAATGCCGCGTCCTCAAGAGTCGGTCGCATGGCGGCGGTAGCCATGATACGACTGTGTCTCTCGCTGGGTTTGAGGTTATCAAAGTGCTTGGACGGGGTAGCTTTGGGGTCGTGCGCCTCGTGAAGGAAGAGAAAACAGAGGACACAAACCATGACGGCGACTCGGAAGACAAGCTCTTGCGCTGGAGAAATGAAGGTACAAAGTCTCGAGCATATGGGCTTGATTCCCTTCGGTCTGCAAATGATGGAACCAAGAGCAGCCGACGCAGAATCATGACTGCCGTGAAGAAGGATGTCTTCGCGATGAAGGTTATTCGTAAGTCGGCGATGATCCGTAACAGCCAGGAAGGTCACTTGCGAGCCGAAAGAGACTTCCTGGTGGCGTCGGCCAAATCTCGCTGGATTGTACCCTTGATAGCTAGCTTCCAGGATCAGAACCACCTTTACCTCATCATGGACTACATGGTGGGTGGGGATTTCCTCGGCTTGCTGATGCGTCGAAACATGTTGCCCGAAACAGTTGCCCGATGGTACATTGCGGAGATGATTCTCTGCATTGAAGAGGCTCATCGACTGTGCTGGATCCACCGCGATGTCAAGCCAGACAACTTTCTGATCTCGGCCTCGGGCCACTTGAAGATATCGGACTTTGGTCTGGCCTTTGACGGGCATTGGGCACACGATCAGGTCTACTACAATGACCACCGCCACACCCTCCTCAAGCGGCTCGGGATCCGGGTAGACGGTGATGACCTTGACCAGACCGAGGCGAAAAAGATGGCGGAGTCCTCCAGTGGGCTGGATCCGGGACCGGTTGATGACTCCGGATGGACCCCCCCTACTGCTGGTCTCCTAGGATGGCGCGATCGCACACAGAAACGGCGGTTAGCTGGAAGCATCGTAGGGACCAACCAGTACATGGCCCCCGAGGTGGTTCGTGGAGAGCTGTACGACGGGCGATGTGACTGGTGGAGTATTGGCATCATCCTATACGAGGTAAGACATACCCTGTCGCTAAGGAGGCTGCAGACGTTGACATCGGCACCAGTGCCTGTATGGCTTTACTCCCTTTGCTTCGGATGATCGCCAGAAGACGAAGTTAAAAATCCATGTAAGCACCCCTTCGCTGGTGTGCAGGTGAGGGATGACTGAGTGCTCGAAGCATCATCTCCAAACCCTACATTTCCCAAATCGACCATCCGATAAGCTCGTCTCTGCTGAAGCAATCGACTTGATAAACAATCTCCTGCAGGAGAAAGAACATCGCTTGTCCTCCAACAAGTATCGCGTGAATGACTCCGTCACCTTTCGCCTGGCAGCCAAGCATCCCCTTTACAGTATGGACCCTCGCAATAAAAACTATCGCGGGTTCTATGTATACCCCAATGACGCAACAGACATCAAGAGCCATCCATTTTTTTGCTGTATCAACTGGAATGAAATCCACCAGTCAATGCCTCCGTTCATCCCCAAGGTCAAAGGTTGGGAAGATACCCGGTACTTCGATGACGCAGGATATGAGCATGGTCACGATGAGGCCTCTGCAGCCTCAGACGCAGAGCATGCCGAGCCCTCCAGCGAGGCAGACGAGCGAGACGAGCGCCACCAAAATAGGGGAGACCCACCCCAATATCAGGATATTGACAGCCTGCTGAGTCCCGTCGCAAGCAAGCCGCCTCAGAAAAACCGCCGCAAGGGAAGGGACAAGAAGCGACCTCGGGACAAGTTGCTGCGAGACCGCAAACTACGCATGACGGTCTTGGAGATGCGCAAGAGGGGAGCATTCTTGGGATATACCTATCGCCGACCCCATGCCGTTGCGATGGCATTGGCCCCAGACCGCGGGCGAGGACTACTGGCACGAGGCCATCTGTCGGAGTTGTACGGTTAGAGAGCTGCTGTCTTGCTCTGATATTCATTCACCACCTTGTCATAAACCACGAAGTATTCTTCGAAACGTATTCTTGCCTCTCATTTGTTACTTTGGCCTAAATGTCCTATCCATACGGAACACACTTGTCTGGCTATGACGTACTATTGACTATCTTGCATGACAGCTGCACATGTTATCTTTCACTGCAATGTCCAGTGCCAACGAAAATTTTTATCAAGGAAAAGGAAAGGTATCTTCCATTTTTCATAACTCAGACATCATAGAACACATCCAACCAACCATCCCCGTCGCCTTGAAACTCCAGGTGTAAGTGTCAGTCTGACAAAAGCGACCCTCAATAACCCACCCAATGCAATATTGCAAGGCGAATAAAGTAAGCAAAGTATGAACTTGAAAAAAGCTGTATTCTAGCACCCACATGTATCGAAGTGTCGCTTTACCTTGAATGGCAAGAATTAGGTATACTAGCGAAAACAGACGCAGGTTCGAGTCGGTATGTAGGCATGTTGGAGTCGAGAAAAAGGTAGGGTATCACGAGAGAGGCAGGGAGGGAGAGTAAGATATGAATTAGCGGCACGAGAGGTTGTCTTTCTGCGTACGTGTACGGCGACGGCCGGAGAGGGAGAAGAAGGGGAGGGAGAGAGAAGATTGAAATAGGTATATCGTGGAGGAAGGAGGCGGAATGGTGTATGTTGTGAAAGAATCACAACGCGGGTGGAGCACCCATCGCGAAGGCGGAATCGGTGACGCGGTCTTCGGGTTTCATGGTACCGTTGAGAAGAGGGCAAAGTCTGTAGGCGAGAAGAAATAGGTGGATATTGGTTAGCGCGCTGCTTGTTTGTGTATTTTCCCTTTTGTTTCTGTTGCTGTTGTGCATGGTTTGTGATTTTGTTTGCGCTTTTGTGTCAAATGCATGTGTTGCAAGAAAAGATCAATCCTTGCAGTGTGGGGTGGGAGGAACTGCTGGTAAGTTGGCAGAAGGGGGCATGCTAGATGGGGGAAGTGTAGGGTAGGGTAAAGGGGATAGTCCTCTGTCTCTTGGGCCATAGTAGTCGGCGGGACCTCGACCTGGGCTGAGAAGGGCTAGCACCAGGAAATTATGAAGCCGAACCTGACAGTACGGGATCCCTGGAAAGGATTACGGGTTCTTGGTAAAGAAGGGGAGGTCGAAATCTGAGGGGTTGTTTGGAAATCCAAAGGAGGGGCCTGATTTATGGCATACGCACTTTTTATTTGTCTTGATGTGGCCGACTTGGCCGCAGTTAGCACACTTCCGTTGTGTACCGGCGGATTTGCCGCCATCGGCCGGTGAGTCGCCTGCGGATGCGCGGGCTGCGCCCTTTTGCTTCTCGCGAGCGAAGCGTCGTTCTTTGTTGCGGTTGAGACGGCTGAGTTCGGCTTCCAGACTGTGGGGGATTAGATTGTGAGTTGGTCTTTGGAGGGGATAGGGGGTGGGGGAGGTTGTTAGTGTTTGGTGTTCTCTGAACGTACAGCTTCTTGTTACGAGCGTCGATCTCCTTGTCGCCCGTTGGCTGAAGGGACTCAAGTCTAAGAAGGTCGGTTAGTCTGATAGATGTTAGAGGTCGATGGGGTGTGCTTACTTGGTGGTCAGTGCCTCCACCCGATGCCGATGCTGGATGTAGTGGCGAATAACCCGGGGATCCCAGATCGTTTGTTCTTTCTGATAGAGCTGGCCCTTTTCGTCTCTGAGCGTCCGCATAATGCGCAAAACCTTGCCCTTTTGGTCGGCGGGCATACTCATCCTGCTGAACTGACTCATCGTCTCGTCGTCACGGCGGAAAGGAGCAGGAGTGGGAGCCTCTGATCTTGGGGTCGGCTTGCCGAACTCCTCCTCTTCCTCGCGGTCAATGTCGCTTTCCTCGTCCGAATGTTCGACTGTTGAAGACAGACTGGCCTTTTGGGAATCCCAGATGCGTCGGATGGACGTTTCATATGACTTCTGCTGCCGGGCAACATTGTAGCTGTGGCCTCCGAGCTCCTTGAGCCGCTGGGCATCGAGTTTATCTTCCACACTCTCGCCAACCGCCTTGAAGCCGCCCTTCATTGAAGTCTTGATGAAACTGAAGCCTTCGCCGCGCCCCGTAGGATCACCTTCACCGTGTAGCTTGAGCATTGCTTTGCCCTGCGATGCTAGGAGGAAATTGCGGGTTGCCTTCCAAGGTGCCATCTGTTGCTCGAAGCTCTCCCCTTCCTCGTCGCCATCTCTGTCTTCGTCTTCCCGTTCCTTCTTCTCGCCTTCATTGCCGGTTTTCTCAGCATCATTGCCAAAACCAGTATCGTGCAGATGTTGCTGACCGACCTGCATGGATTCAAGCAGACAAACGTCCTCGGGCTGGACCCATGACCGAATCACGTCCTGCTCTGGCACAGGTTCCATCGGCACCCAGTACTTGGAGTCTTTGTCGTGCTGGAGGAAATCCTTGACTTTTTGTCGATTTTGCATATCGCTAGTTCCTGGGATGTGCGCGGTGACATCGCTGATAGAGAGCCGAAGGTCTGGGCTCTTTTTCAACAGGCGGTATACCAGCATCTTCATCCGGTTCTTGGCCACCGTTGTGACCTTTCGTGAATGGGGTCCAGGAATGTCTACCGACGGGAACTGTTGACCGGCAACATAGAGGTTCTCGATGTTACGGATGTAATAATCGCTGCCACCAGAGCCAGTACTGCTACGCACGATCAAGAAGTCGGTCTTCTTCGCTTCGTGCACGAACAATGGGGCACGATACATAGAATTCGAGATGGCCGGCGTCACCTCGCCAGGATCCACGTGTCCGAAGATGGAGAAGGGGCTTTTATCCTGGGGGAGGAGAACTGCGGTTTCGCCAATTTCGGCCTTGGGGCGAGTGGGGTCTTCCATGCTCTTTCTCCGATAGTAATTGATAATCCGATTTGACATACCGAAATTCGACAGCACGAGTGGAACCTCTTCGGAGTATTCCACCAGTAGAACGTTGGAGTTGTCAGCCAAAGAGAGCGACTTTGTAGAATCGTAAAGTTGCTTGACGTCCTTGCCCTTTTGGTGCTTTCGTTTAATATGAGCCGGGTTTTTGAACCAACAGGTCTGTCCAGGCCGGAAAGAGAGAGCAGGGCGATGGTAAGAACGCGCTTCGGCCTTGGACAGCTCGGTCTTGTAGTAAGGCCATTGCAGACGCAGAGCAGGCATACTGTGCTCCAAGGTAACGTTACCCAGGGTACTGCGAACCTTGTTCTGATGGTTTTGTTTCAGCATATCGTATGCCTGGTCGTTCGAAATGTTGTAACGTGAGGTCAGACGTTTGGTGACACTGGCATCCAGCTCGTCCCGCTTGAGAGCACCCAGCGCCTTTGGCTTCTGCGCAGCAGCCTCCGCTCCTCGCTCGTCAAGGAGAATATGAGGATCGTTCATGTCGACTGTGACCTTTTGAGCAATGCGGGAAGTGGCTTGTTGCGGGTCGTCAATCACCGGTACATCAATATGGGACAAGGCGACGATTTCAAGCGGATCTCTTCCAATTTTCCGTTTCTTCGCGGGGCGGGTGGTTTCTAGAAGCCAGTCGTCTTCCATATCAACATCGGCCTCTTTAACCTCCGCCTCCTCAACGTCCATGATGGAGAAGTCATCCCTCACATCCCAGTCCGCGCAGACAACACGAAGGTCATGATGAGTTATACCCCCAGGGAGCACTTCCTCCGTATCTGTGTCCTGATCAAACTCTTCCTTGATCTCCTGTTCCTCCTCCTGGGCCGCCTCCAAGACGGGGACCACGCCGGAATGCTCCGACTCCAGCGAACGTTTGAGCGACTGGCCTCCAGACTTGAACGATCGCTCTTGGTCATGGGCCAATTCGATATTCACCTTGTTAGGGATGACCGGCTTCGGGGGCTTCAGAGGCTGCTTTCCAACAAAGAAGGCCTTCTTGTGGGGAATCAGCTCAAGGAAACGCGGAAGAGCATTCTTATCGAACATTGGGAACAGCGACTGCAACAGCTCCTCGACATTCTCTGGCGGCGCAGGCACGTTTTCCGGGCCATAAGACGACATAGCAAACAGAGCCTGTTGGAGCTTCCAGGCGCGAAGAGAAGCCGGGTCCATATCCTCCGCTGTTGGACTCAACGCCTCATCTTCCTGCATAGGTTCGTCCTCGTCTTCGTCCATCGGCACGGGTTCGGGCTGCGCGGGCGCGGATTCGACAGGCTCCGGAGCCTCTGCTGGCTTCTCACTCTCTCCTTCCTCCTCGAAGAACAAATCTCGTGTTGCGTCGGCATGTTCTGCTGGGGGAGAAGAAGGGCCATCTCCGAATAGGTCGTCCAGTTCATCGCGCGGTGGTTGTTGATTTTCGTCCTCCTGGCCACCGAAGAGATCATCCTCCTCCGCTTCAAACAAGCCTTTATCTGCGTCGTCTTCTTGTTCCCCGAGTCCATTTTCGGCGGGCGGTCCGGTTCGCTCTTCTTCTTCGGGTAGCTCGTCGTCATCGAAATCTTCGTAGTCCACCGCGTCGTCTGCCTTTTCGCCGGGTTCCAAGTCGCGGGAGAGGAAATCAAACGACATGTCGCCTTCCCCGAAGGGACCGTTCATCTGTCGCATCACATTCTCGAAGGCGGTATCCTCCGCGTCGGGCGCGGGGGGCTCTGTTGCGTGAGGCATTATGTTGAAATCTGAGATGGAAGATGGTGAGGTGAGAGATAGCTGGGAAAGAGAGTAGATATCAGCGCCCGGGAGACAAGGTGGTGAAGACGCGGGGCATCGAGTGGTGAATGTGAGGTGAGATAGAAAGGGCGCGCTTGCGAGATGGCATCGAGACGACCCTGTCTACCAGAGACCTGGACGGGTTAAAGGCGATGAAAAGGATAGCTCGATGAGCCCAACCTCGACTGGCCGAGACCCGGACAAGCAATAATACCGTCTCTCCTTCGCTCCCGTCGGAGATTCCGGCTGGCTGCTAAGACCAGTCACGCAACACTCCGGCTGTTTTGAGAACGGTTCGTGTCACGAGGGGCACTAGCTGGATTCGGTTAGTGCGATCAGCGGTTCGAGACAGCTCCTCAACATCAATGATTCTCGCCCTCTACTTCCCTCAATCTGGAGTTCTGCTACTACGCACAATTCTGTCAGTAAGCAGAACTTGGATCAAAGTCTCTTTACACTTCAAGTTTGACAAAAATTGGCCTATCATCTATTGATTCACCAAACTAAACCCATTGAAGGGTTTGAATATATTTTGCACGTTACAAATATACATAGCTTTGAGCTAGTAATTTCAATGTCATTATCTTTCTCGCTGTAGTGCCCGATAACCTTTCGATTCATGTGCTAATGGTACTAGGAATTGTTCTTCTAGTAGGAGACTCGGAGGAAGCTGTAATAAAATGAAAGCATGATACTTAACTTCGAGCCATTACTACTGTGTGTAGAAGTAGTATACTCTGCCAATTAGGTTGTAACTCACATTATGCATTTATCGAAGCTCAAATGAATGAAGGAATCCAAAGACAATAATTAGGTAGAAGTTGGAAAAGAGCGAGCCGACTACGAAAATAGCAAAGGTTGAGTGCCCTAACATTCAAATACAAGTTTACACCATTACTCTGTACTATAAGGATAGCCGAGACATGATTCTATGTAGATGAGAATGCAGGGTTGAGTCATTGAATACTCTCGTGGATAGGATGATGATCATATACACATTTCTCAGAAAATTTGGCTGGCTGAGATGCAGCACATTGGGCCTACCATCAGGGAACTGATGCTGGTATTTCGTATCTGAATAGCTTCTACAGTTCCCTGCGATCTATCTGAAGCCATATTTCGAAATAATCAAATTTTAATGCTTTTCCATCTACTGAGGAGAAAACACGCAACGAAACATCTGTACTCTTGGTCCTAGTTCTTAGCCACCGAAGGCATCTAATGATATGCATTTTTACGGGCCTTATTGCCGCTTCCGGTTACGTTATTAATGCACACCACTATTAGAAGACCGGACTTGTTGTATTTCTCTATGAATGTGCCGCGGGAGGCATTGACATTTCATCCTTTGACGCCCTTCAGCTGCAGTTGCTAGTTCACTACATTCATTTAACTTAGCCGCCTGAGTCGGATCATCTTCCCATCCCAGACCGTATCCCCGGGACTGAAACTCGCTCAAGAATGGAAATAGTTTCCGATCGCAGCTGTGAACTGGTGCCTATATCTTGTCTATATATATTTGTTGTTGTGACCGAAATGTCTAACTGGCACACTGCTTATCATCTGTAAGCTAGTAACTTTCCTTAATCAGATCGGAAGCCCTTTCAGCGACAGCATACAGAGTGCTGGTCAGATGGCCGCAGAGCTGGAATGGCAGGACTGATGCATCGACGACGCGAAGATTCTTGGTACCGTAAACCCTGAGCTCGGGGCTGACAACACCACCCTTTTCGCGGGGAAGCATGCTGTTGGTGCCAACAGGGTGGTAGTTGGTTCGGTCTGTGATGAGAAAAATGAGCAATCATGTTGAGAATGAGTCGTTTAGAAAGGTGAAAAAAACTTACAGTTTTCTTGAACCCACTTAGTCCAAGTGGAGCTGGACGCATTCGCAGGGAGCACTTCAAGACTGGGTGAGACTTCCTCGCCCACAAGACTGTTCAGAGGTGCAGTTCCCAAAGCCTTCCGAATGTACTGTGCCACCGTGATTTGAGCATCGGCATCCTGTCTGAACATGAAGTAGTTGGGATTGATGGCAGGGTAATCTGAAGCATTCGCAGACTGGATATGAACGCTGCCGCGGGAGAAGGGAAGAAGAGGCCAGTATTCGACCGCGAACGATTGTCCGCTCGGAGCGAAAACGACTTCTGCATAGGGGACCTGGGAGTTGAAGATCAGGTCGTACTGGCGCTCGAAAGCCTCAATGAGATTGGCCTCCTTCACAGCGCCATTGGAGGCATCAGCAACGGTCTTAGCATAGCTAGCAAGTTGGGACTTGACGTAGGAAGCCAAGGCAGTGACGTTATCGCCGTAGAGCTGGTTCACAGATGGCAGGACGGAGAAGGTTGCCAAACCAGTGAGGGTGTCGACGCCTTCCCAGGAAAGAGCGTTGTTGGTCTGATCCTGTAGGTTCTCCCCGACGGTGGTGATGTTGACCTTGACGGGGATATTGTGCTTATTGAGGATGTCAGGGTTTCCAATACCAGACAACTCAAGCAGGGCAGGGGATCTAAGCGCGCCGGCCGACAGGATGATCTCCTTGTCAGCGTAGATGGTTTCCGTGCCGTAAGCGTTAGTAACTTCAATGCCGACGGCAACAGCCTCTCCTTGGGTGGAGTTGGCCCAGATGACCTTGTTCGCACGAGTATTGGAAATGATCTTCAGGTTTGAGCGGGCTTCATAAGGCCAGTAGTAAGCCCTGGCAGCATCTTCGCGGACATTCATCTCCCGGTCCAGCGTGTCAGGGTGAACAGTGAACCCGACCATCTTGCCGCCTTCAGAATCGGGGTTATACTGAACGCCCAGTTTCTCAAAGGTTTGTTCAAGAACAGGGAAGACGCTGCTGTTGGTCATGGAAGTAGGCCAACCGACCTTCAGAGGGCCGTTCAAACCATGATAGCTAGCGTTGTAGTTGGCACCATGAGCGATCTGGTCCTTGGTCGGCACCTGGAAGCCTTCCGACTTCTTATAATATTGAAACAGGTTCTTCCAGTTCCAACCCTTGTTTCCGAGCACTTCCCAATTGTCAATTTGTACGTCTTCGGCCCGAGTATAGGACATTCCTGTTGTAAAAGATTTAGTCAGTATCATAGTATCTATCATATGCTTGTAAGGAAAAGAAAGAATGACTTACCATTGATCGTGCTCGTACCACCAAGTGCCTTTCCAGCACGAATCGTCTGCCGTAGGCCTCCCGCATATGTCTGGTTCTCGGTTTGGTAGGCCCAGTCGACCTCCGTTCCGAATGCCGTGCTGTAGCCCATGACATTAGACACATTGAAGTTATTCAATGCGGATTCACCAGCCTCAATGACGGCTACAGTGACATTCTTCAATTCTGAGAGTCTGTTTGCAACAACCAAACCACTGGTGCCTCCGCCGACGATGACGAAATCATAGTGAGGGGGTAAGTCGGTGTGACTTTGGGCTGCTGCGCCTAACGAGAAGGCCGCGAGAGCAAGTGAGGAAAGAAGCATCTTGGTGATAGATGCAGGAGGGTTTGGAAGTTATTGAATGTATCCCAATGATGAGCAACATTACGATCAGAGACAGACCCTGTCTCTTTATACAGGCATTGAAGAGGGCAACATGTCTACCACCCATAGAGAGGCTTCTAGAAAAAGCCCTCAAAGAATCCTAATGCTAAAACATTGACCCACCCACTGTAATGCCGTTAAACTCTTGAAGTGCTAGTCAAAGCCAAAGTTTCTTCGCTTCAGCAAATGTCAGTGATCGGTCATGATTATCAAACAGCGGGATTCAAGGGTCTTTGAGTCTCGCCACGCGGGAAGCTCCATATCAAAGTGGATACTTTGGTTATAACCAGCCAACCCCGAAGGACGGGGTCCTGGAATACGGATTTGTAATAGACTGATTAATCCTTAACCTAGAATTATAATCCTGGTTCTCTTAATTCCGCTCCTCAGACATGTCGCAGACCGAAATGGGGCGTTTGTTTGCATGTACGGCAAACCGATTTCATAGCGCTAGTGCCGGAGTGAGACCGAATCTATATCCGGCATTCCGAAGCGGCATCCCGATTACATATTGCGGCAGCGTAGGCGGCAATTCCGATCAGAGAGCACCTGTCGGTCCACTTCGTGCACCATGAAATGTCTTGCGGTTTGCTTCCGCTATATTCTCCGCCAAGGAATACTTTAGGGATTTATCCGTTCTTACAACGGTCCATGAAAGGAGGAAGTTCAAAGTTAAATTAGTTCAATGTAAGCGTGCCTTTCGTACTCCGGTGGCTGAAGCAACGCCGGTAATTGCTATCATTATAGCCTCTTTGTCAGCCATGACTACTTCTACAATGAATTGGGGATCGTATTGGATAGAGAGAGAAAGACAACAGCTTTATCCTCGTCAATTTTTCGACTAAGACCATAAACGTCCTACAGGCTAGTTCAATAGTAGATCCGCCGCCTTTTCTGCTACTGCATAAAGGATAGCCTGATAATGCGCCGCGAGAGGCATAGGCAGCACACTAGCATCCGCAACTCGCAGTCCTTTCACGCCCTTCACCCGCAGTTGAGTATCCACGACCTTGCCCATAGACGCCGAGCCACCTGGGTGAAAGAATGTGATCGCACCATTGTTGATGTTGCTGTCAATTTCCTCATCGGTGGACTCGAGTGTAATGGGTTCACTGCCCGGTCTGGGTACTTCGTGCTCCACCATATCTTGACCCTCCGGCGTGTCTAGGATGAGCCTGGCCACTCTCCGGATTCCGTCGCGGAAAATCGCTCGGTCCACTTCCTTAGAACAATAGTTGGGATCAATGACGGGTGCACTTTCCGGATTTGCATTAGCCAGAGTGATCTGGCCTCTTGCTGTAGGGGCCATCAAGAGGACAGCCGTGCTGATGTGGGTGCCATCCATTGCGGTCTCAAAGCCAGTTACGGCGCGACTCATCGGTGCGTAAATGACCAGAACCTCAGTGTGCGCAAAGCCCGCCTCAAAGTATGGGTGATCTTTGGGTGGGTTGTGCCCGTCGTCTGCTTTGAACGCCTTGATCAACTCCTTCGCAGGAGTCTGTAGCGTCACGTTCCAATCATAAGGTACCCCCATGCCATACGCTGGACTATGCCAAAGGGGCGTTCCCATAGAGAGACCCTGTTCAGGGTGACGCAATTTCCACCATTGGGGGAAGCACATGTGATCATGGAAGTTACGACCCACTTCTGGGGCATTCACAAGCTGTAGGATGTTGTGTTTTGCCAACTCTTCTGCAGGTCCAATTCCAGAGAGCATTAGAACCTGTGGGGTACGGTACGCTCCAGCAGAGATAACCACTTCTCTTGTGGCATGGTATTCTTGTCCATCGACGACTTGAACTCCTGTCGCGACCTGCTCACCGTTTAGGTCTTTGAGAACCACCTTTGCGACCAGAGTATCGGTAACAATGGTAATGCCTTGACGCCCGGACAATCCGTACGCCTCACTAGCAAGCTGACGCTGTCCTTCACGCCAGTTCTCTCCAAAGTGAGCTAGGCCCAGCGGGCTTCCAGCGTTGGCATCAGGGTTGAACTTCACGCCAAGTCGTTCCCATGCAGAGCGAACAGGCTCCTTAAGGGGATATTTTCGGTCCGGGCTGGTGAGCTCGACAATAGTATTGGTGATGGGGCCGCTGGTGCCGTGAACAGCCTGGTCAACATTGGGATCGTAGTGTGTCTCGACGCGCCTGAAGTAAGGAAGTAGACCTTCGTAGCTCCAGCTAGAGTCCCCGACAAGCTTTGCCCAGAGGTTGTAGTCGGCAGCGTTTCCGCGGGTCCAGGTCCCGTAGTTTGTTGCTGTGCCTCCACCCAGTGCCTTTCCTGCCGCGTTGTAGCATTCGCGATTGTTGAGATGCTTCTGTGGCACCGTAGTGTAGTCCCAGTCCAGAGGCGAGTGATGAGCACCGAAGCATGCCAATGGAGTGCTAGTGAGAGGATGATCGACCACGCTAGGTCCGGCTTCAATGATCAAGATCCTCAGTGACTCGTCTTTCTCAGCCAGCCGACCAGCCAGTGCACAGCCCGTCAGGCCTCCACCGACAATGATATAATCGTAAGAGTCAGGCATGGCTAGTATGACTTGACTTTTATGAGTAGTAACCGGAAATTGAAGAAGATGTGGATTTGCAAAAGAGAGAGTAGGACTATGTCAAAGTGGTGAAGCTGTTGACAATCGAGAGGAGGGGGTAGGGCTACTGGGGGTATTTAACTGTTCATCTCACTCAAGGCTGACCAGACCAGCCAAGCCAAGACAGCTACGGAAGGTCGTAAGAGGAGATTCCGTCCATTCTTGATGGCAGTAAAATCCCAAAATAGACCCAGAGAATTGATTGGTTTTCGTACTGCGGTAAGCCCCTCTTAGTTGGCAGTCAACAAACAATTTACAAGGAATAGACAAAGAAACGCGATCCCACCAGCTCTAAGCAAGGCGCATTAGCCTGCAGTAGCACTTATTGAACCCTGAATGCTATACCCTATCACCGCTTATGGAGACCGGGCTTTTGCACTAGCATGCATTAACACAGGGCAGTCAAAAAGCCATGTTACTTCGGATTGGCCAAGACTTACAGGTGCTTTTTCTTGTCACAAGATGAGACCTAATAAGCGTTACCCCCAATTATCGAAAAGGCTTATCCCAACAGCAGAGCGTACGCCATGCCAGCTAGGAACGAACGCCGTCGATCATCCGGCCAACTGCAGCTTCCCGCGAGGCTAGCTATATGAGATCAACTATTCATTCCCCGTCCTGGCCTTTCGTACGAATCATTACCCTTCCCCAAGCAACCGTGTAAGTAAACGAATATGGCCTCAAGGCCTGTCCGGGATTCGTAAATTCGGTGTTACAATTGTCGACGTACGTAAAATAATCTGGAGGTCAGTTGAATTTCATATGCAGACTATCAAAGCGAAAGCTCGACTCCTAAGAAATGGGCCTAAAAGAGGCTATAAGCTTTGCACACATCTGAACCAGCGTATGCCTCACAGGGATATTCTTTGGCACATAACAGCCTCTGAATTACGTGGGAATCAACCCATGGAAGACTGGAAGTCAGGACACGTATTCCTGTCTTTCCCCTATAACCCATACTATCACCGCTGGTGCTTCATCTTTCTTGTCTGCTGCGTCTGTACTTAGGTAGGCTGATGAGTATGTTGTGTAGGTACTGCGACATCTGTTATCTGCCCTGTGACCTTTACGATACTGGTGAGTAAGAGGGGAAGGGGGAGATGAAGGCGCGGCATCCCACAATTGTTCAACTCCTATAGAGGTTCAAAATTGCCTATTAAATGAGGAGCCACTAGCTTACGGGAGGCTATTGCGATGCCACTATCATGCATGAGGACCCCTCTGCTGCGGCGCGTATTGCAGCCATGTGGTTGGCGGATGGAACGACGAGGCTCAGATCACAGTCTCATAACCCCCACAATCAAAATGGATGACTGTCGGCCGCACACGAATAGTATATCATGCTTTGAGTATTCGATATAGAGCGGGCTTGCTTGGACTTTAGCCCTGAGGACAAATGCGCCCCAAAAGCCGTGACGATTTTACAATCGCGATCATTTGCGCTCTTCCCTTAGAGGCAGACGCCGTCGAAGCGCTTTTTGACGAAACGTATGATCGTCTCTGCAAGTATTACGGAAAGCAGCAGGGAGATGCAAATTGGTACGTTAACGGACGAGTCGGCAAGCACAATGTCGTACTCTGCTATATGCCCGGAATGGGCAAAATTAGCGCGGCGAGTGTCGCCTCGAGCCTGAAAATAAGCTACACGAGCGTTCAACTTGCTTTGCTTGTTGGTATATGCGGAGGCGCTCCGAACTCTTCGAAAAGCCAGGATATCTTTCTTGGTGACGTTGTCGTCAGTGACAGTGTCGTTACATACGAGTTTGGTGGAGAGCAGTCTGTTCATGACAGGCCCGGAAGGCCCAGTCGCGAGATTCGAACCCTGCTTGGTCGATTGGGAACACCCTCTGCCCAGACCGGTCTTCAGTCTCATTTGTTACACTATCTTGAGGTTCTCAACCAGAATGAGAAAAGGTGGGACCACCCAGGCATTGAAGATGTCCTTTTTGAGAGTTCTCATCTTCATAAACATCGCGAGCATTACCCTGATCTAGATTGCTGCTGCTTGAAAGGCAGCTCGCCAGATGAGATCTGCGAAAATGCACTGGAGAGTGATTGTGATTCTCTCGGCTGTGGCAAGAGCACTGTAATGCGTTTTCGCAATCCTTCTACAGCGAACAAAGTTTCTATTCATGTCGGGCCAGTCGCCTCTGGCAATACAGTCATGAAGTCTGGCAAGCACCGTGATAACATCATCAAACGATACAAGGTCATTGGCTTCGAGATGGAGGGAGCAGGGGTGTGGGAATGTCTGCCATCACTTATAATTAAAGGTGTGTGTGATTATGCGGATAGCCATAAAAACAAGTTATGGCAAGCCTACGCTGCAGCGACTGCCGCCTCCACCGCAAAGGCTTTCTTAGAACACTGGACACCTCAGGCACAGGAAAGTGAGTACACTGAGAATCTCCTGGTTGTGCTTCGTACTTACTGACTGTCTCGTTCCATAGCCCTCTTGGACACCAGTAATACTTATCACTTCATGGTCCCGTTTTCGAGAAATCCACGCTTTCTGGGTCGCAAAGACGAAATCAAACATTTATGGAGCTTACTTTCGGCACCGGAAGGACCAAGAAGACTCGCTATTACTGGATTAGGAGGTATTGGTAAGACGCAAATAGCGCTGGAACTGGCCTATCTTATGCGGGAACATGATGCTGAATGCTCAGTATTCTGGATACCAAGCACCAGTGACGAAGCTATCGAGCAAGCTTGTATAGCCATTGCGCAACAGCTGGGGTTCCAGTATACCAAGCCAGATGAGGTGAAGGAACGACTCAAAGAATACCTATGCCAGGCGAGCGAGGAGTGGGTATTGATCTTCGATGGCGCCGATGACATGGATATGTGGATGAACGGCAGCGGTACGACTGCGCCTCTCAAGGAGTTCCTTCCTTCTAGTAGCCACGGCCGCATTATCTACACTACTCGCAACCGGAAATTAGCTGTGAAGCTTGCATCGCGTGATGTGATACGTGTGGGAGATCTTGATGAAGTGGTCGGAGTGGAACTACTGGAGAAATCCTTGATTCAACAAGATCTGGCTCAAGATAGGGATGCTGTGGCAAATCTTGTGAAGCAGTTAGCCTTCCATCCAAAGGTTATTACACAAGCTGCCGCATATATGAACGAAAATGGGATAGGAGTGTATGATTATCTGATGCTTCTCCACGAGCAGGAGGAAGATGTCGTGGAGCTTCTCAGTGAGCATTTCGAAGCTGATGGGCGCTACGAGGGCTCCAACAACCCAGTAGTCCTGACATTGTTCGCCTCGTTTCGTCAAATCGAGAAGCTTGATTCGCTGGCTACCGAGTACCTCTCACTTTTGGCCTGTCTCGGCCAGCAAAGTATACCGGAATCGTTTCTTCCACGACCAGTGTCGAAAAGAAAGATGGTTGAAGCCCTTGGGCTTCTAAAAGCCTATTCATTCATTACTATCCGACCAAGTGATAGGTGCATAACTCTGCATCGTCTGGTGCATCTAGCAGCTCGGCATTGGAAGAGGAGTCAGGACCACCTGGAACTTTACACGCACAAGGCAGCAGAGCGGCTGAGTGAGGTTTTGAATGATAACGATATCAGCGAGAAGCATCGGAGACGATACGCACAACACGCAGAATTTCTACTCCATGAACTTCGGCTTATGGCAGTCCAAGCGCAATGGAACATACGTGTCAGCTCTGGTGGTGATGAAAGTGGGGCAATGGAAGAGGGACTGCTTGTGCAGGGGGCGAATACATTATCCCATAGCCTGGAGCCATGAGATCCGAGACGCATGTAGCATACAGATGGTACTGCATTAGCATAGCCAAGGTGGCAAAATCAGAAAAGATTGGTTATGACAGTGATACTGGGAATGGTAGTAGTACACTAAACGGCATCCGAGGACTCCAGGCAATGTTCGAAAGGTTGTCCAGTAGAAGAATGTAACGAGACAGGAATATAAGGAAAAAAAAGTCGAAAGAAAAGAAGATTATTTGAAAAGCGTCATTCAAGGTTAAATCCACCATAATAAACACACAACGCCTTGCTAGCACCTTCCATGCAGTAATGCATCACCACTGACTTTTGACCCTCCTTGACAACCTTGGCCATCTGCTTGACGTCCGATGTCCGAGGAAGATAGAGTACCATGTGTTCCGTAAACATAGAATACTCCTTGTAAAGCTTTGCGAGGGAGTACGGCTCCATAGTACTCAGGTTGAACACCGCGTCGGAGCGATACCCGGGGCCTATAACGGATCAGCTGGCTTCTCAAAAACCTAAAGGGTGTAAGGGGAAAAAATGGGCACATACCACCCCACGGCGGACTAGCAAACAAGACACTATACGGTGCCAGATCCTTCAGCTGATTCTTGATAATTTCGAAACAATCACCCTCAAACCAGGTGATCTTGTCCGCCACGCCGTAGATCTTGGCGTTGTGTTTAGCGCACTGCAGGACAGCGGGATTTTTCTCGATAGCGTAGACGCGCTTCCATCTACCGGACAGTGCGAAAGCGATGGAGTTGCCACCCGCACCCGCGAATGCATCTACCAGGATGCTGCGTCCTGCGGGGGCGGACTGAGCCATGTGTTCTGCTATTTTGCTGAATTAATGAATTAGTTGCTTGGCTCCTGATAGTGGACAAGAGAACACATACTTTGCCACGGGCTCGGGCGTGACACCAAACCAGGCATCATCTGTCAGCCAAACACCCTCATCGTACTTGGAGAAGATCTTGTAGCGCTGCGCCCAATAACTGTTCCGCAGTGTTAGTCGATTTCGGTTCCGCAACGTAAGGACGAGGGATGATGGTCTTACTTTTGAATATCCCACGGCACCTCGCCAAGATCATTATAATGATGTACTTCCTCCGGGGGAACCTCCACGGTAGGGTCTCGAGCCATGATCGCAGTATAAATGAGAGTTGATCAAGGACTGAAGCTAAAGGCGGAGCGCAATCGCATCGCGACGATTATCGGCCATTGCGATAAGCGATAACCGGTGTTTGCAATGTTTGCAGCGCCGGGCAGCTCTCCACGTTGCGCATCTGGCTTTCCTCCGCACTGCCCAATGCTCCCATCCTTTCTCCCCACAAACATATACCCCCCTTCCTCGAAGCAGACATGTTCGGGGCTCTTAATCGATTTATTGGCTTGGATGCTGAGCCTACCCGACAGGCGCGGGCTCAAAGCACCAGCGACAACTCCTTTGGGTTCCAGGTCCTCCGCAACAAGGATGCGGAGCTCCCTCTGGAGCCGTGGTTCGATTTCATTGTCGGGATTAATGGGCGGTTAATAGTGAGTAGACACGACTCCTCAGACAAAGCTGTCTCTATGCGCGGGCTGGACTAACTACCTATCAGGAGGACCCCGACCCCAACCTCTTCGCTACGGAAGTGCGCAACTGCGCCGGATCCAGCGTGACCTTTGAAGTCTGGAGTGCCAAGGTACAAACAAACCCAATAACCTCCTCTGTACTCGACTAATCCCATCATATAGGGTCAAAAAACACACACCGTCTCCATCCCCGTCCCCGCATCCAACCCCGACCTGGGCCTGGCCCTCCAACTAGCCCCCCTCTCCTCCACCCAAAACATCTGGCACGTCCTCTCGATTCCATCTCCACTCAGCCCCGCCTACCGCGCAGGTCTCCTTCCACACTCCGACTACATCATCGGCACTCCGAGCGGGACATTACGCGGGGAATCAGCACTCGGGGAACTCGTCGAAGACCACTTGAACCGCACACTAGTCCTATGGGTATACAACAGCGAGTTTGACGTGGTGCGCGAGGTTGAGCTGGTGCCGACACGGGGCTGGGGAGGAGAAGGAGCGCTAGGTGCGGAACTGGGATTCGGTGCACTACATCGGTTGCCGGTAGGGTTGGGCGAGGAAGTCGAGGGACCCGGCGAGGTGGTCTTCGAGACACGGGATGACGGCTCGTCCGCGCCAGTAGTGGAAGCTCTGGGTCAGGGACCCCCGCCGTCTGGGCATTTCCTCGTCCCGGCTAATATGACCTCCCCTCCGCCGTTGTCGGGACCTCCGAGGAATATGGCGGCGTCGCCCGCTAGTCACTCGTCTGCGGGTCGTCGGCATAAGACGCGTCATACCGGGTCAGCTGCGGCAGTATCGTTTGATGACTACTTTGCGGAGGGCGAGCAGAAGAGCAAGGAGCAGGACTTTGCGCCGTCCCGCAGGGGAACGCCGCTACCGCCTCCGCCCAAGGCTGGGGTGCGGTCACCGCCTAGCTCGGTCAGTCCGGCGCCAGCGGCTGCCCAATAGACTAGGGCTAAGAGATCAATTGTGTACAGTAGTCATGAAGATCGGTTATTATGATGGCCTAATAGGTCTTGTCATGCATTCTTTCCCAGTAACTAGGCCACTATTGCACTGCTGCATCACGGAAGCGATATCTAATTAAATTTTACATTCCGATTAAGGCGTGACTTGGCGCCGCTTTAGGCTTACTGGGAGGCCAAGGGCAATGAGTAAAGGAAGGTAAGAGGACGGGATTTGCAATGGCAGTTGCTAAGCATCTTTTGGAGGGGAAACATAAAGCCGGTCATTGGTTTCTTGATTACATGCCTAGTAGTAGTAGTAGTAGTAGTAGTAGTAGTAGTAGTAGTAGTAGTAGTAGTAGTAATAGCAGCCAGCTGTCGTGAATCGGACCCCAGCACTGAATACTATATATCTAACCCAACGCCCATCATAGTAACGAACAGCTACTACTATGACCACTTGTTGAACTAATTATAATTGACGGCGTTCATCTTGATATTCAGTCATGGTGATCCACCGGTAGTCTTGCAGATTGGCCATATAGAAAGGGTCTATTGCCTCGAGCACATTGATCACGTCTTCATGGCCGTACTGCCGTGCAATCTCCAAGGCGCTTTGGCCATTTTTATCCAGTTGACACAGCTCCACGCCCGGGGTGCCGGCCAGAATGGCAACAACACTCGCGTGGCCCCTCTTCGCCGCTATCCCTAGCGGGGTATGCCCCAATATATCGCGCCGGTTGAGCTCGATGCCAGGACATGCGACCAACACCTTCACAACTCCTGCATGGCCATTGCAGGAGGCAATCCAAAGAGGAGTTCCGCGGGAATAGGATGCAATCTCGGTATGATTCGCAGCCGCGCCGCTGTCGATCAGGATCCTGACAACGGCGTCATGTCCGTGCTCAGCGGCTGTCCACAGCGGTGTTGCAGCATTAGGATGTCCCATGTTGACAGTCACTCGTCCAGTAGCCAGTAGAGCTTGAACGATATCGCTGTGACCATTCGCTGCAGCCTTTAAGAGCGGCGTATATCCCGTATAATCGGGGCACTCCACATCAACCCCATGAGTGCTTGCCAGGATACTGACAACCTCAGTATGGCCATTGTTCACAGCGGCCCACAGCGGCGTTGTGCCGTTATGGCCCTTGCTATTGAGATTCACCTGATCAGCGGAGACCAGGATCTGGACTATTTCCACGTGCCCCTTGGATGCCGCTACCCAGAGCGCTGTCCTGCCGTGACTGCCTAGGAAGTTCAGATCGACCCCTTTCGTATTAGCTAAAACCTTGACAATACCACTGTTGCCACAGTCCGCAGCCGCCCAGAGTGGTGTTACGCCTTGATGATCCCTCCGATTAAGAAGGACCCGACCGGTAGAGACGAGTATTGCCACTATCTCGTCATATCCTTCCTCGACAGCTCGCTGCAGAGGAGTCGTGCCATCGTGGCTTTGCCGGTCGACGTCAGTTCTTGCGATGGCAACCAGTAACCTGACAATACTATCGTTGCCGAGATGGATGGCTGCTTCCAACGGGGTGCCTGCTCCAACTCCGCTGTGGTTCGGGTCTAGATCCTCCATTGTTATCATAGCTTGGATGGCGTCTTCGTGACCGTTCAATACCGCTTCCCACAGTGCCGAAAGGCCAGCTTTGTTGAGATGATTGATATTCACTCGGCCCGAGCTCCCCAGGTATTTGACAATGTCTGTATAGCCTTTCGAAGCAGCAACACAGAATGGCGTTTCCCCACGAGCGTCAGGTACGTCCAGGTCATAGTCCTGATGTTGGCATATTGACTGGACGACCTCCAAGTGCCCATTTGCGGTTGCTAACCACAACGGCGTCTCCCCCTTTTTGTTAGCCATCGATGCCGCTTGGGAGCCCTTCTCCTTTAGCCGCGCGTGTTCGAGAAGAAGATTGAAAATAATTGGAGGGCCCTTGACGCTGGCGGCAAGATGAAGGGCCGAGTCTCCGGATGGCGTCACAGCCAAGATGTCTGTGTGCTGGCCTGACAGAAACAAAGGTATTGCTTCCACAAAGTTGTGAAGCGTAGCTGTCATAAGGGGAGTATAGCCGTCAGAATCTGCTTGGTTCAGATTCACCCGGTCGCAAGCAAGAAAGCATTTGGTCAGCTCGACATCTTTTCGGATTATTGCAGACGTCAGATGTGTTTTTCCTGACGGGCCTACTGCATTCGGCATCACAACTTCACTCTTCAACAAGGACTCAATTACAGCGATGTGTCTCCCATTGATGGCCCAAGATAGTGGTGACTGTCCGAAAAGGTCGTCGGTATGCCGAGCACCACGGGCGAGGAGCCAGTCAACAAGCGCCAGACTCCCGCGCTGACAGGCATGTGACAACGGTGTCCGTCCAGAGGAGTCGGGTTTGTCATAGCCATGGGTGTCTAATATGGTCATCAGGAGTTTATTCAGGTGTGGCGTGTTGAGGTCTAGATACCAGATATGCTCCTGCCACCAGGCCACTGCATATTGGTAAAAGGCCCAGGGCACGGCGTCACTTGCCCTGGAGGCTTGCAGGCGTTGCAATAGACTATAACCGACATCCGAATCCTTACTCCTCTTCATTTTCAGCAGCTTCAACGCAATTCCTTGTGATTGGCCACGAGAGGAAACTGCTGAATGGATCACTGCCGTTGTCACCGAGATAGAGCTGATTTTAGGTGTCTTAACCGCTGACAATTGCTTGTAGAAATTTTCGTAGCTCAGGTATGTCGCAATAGTCTCTGCCATGGTTTGATTTGCAGGCATCAAGTCGTGATGGTTTTCACGGTGGTCACAAAGAAATGTTCTCACACTATGATGTACCATGCGAATACTCGAGTTTTCTTCATCTACAGTAAGTAGACCCCCACAACAAGCCAACGTGGAATGTATGTCATTGAGTATCCTTGCAGGGTCCCAGAAGGTCTTCCAGGGGATGACACTGAGGGCTTCTCTCATTTCCTCTGTGGTCAGTGGCCTGCACGCGGTCACAACCAGATCCAAAATCTTGGATTGATACGTGCTCCCGGAAAGGCTAGACCTTTCCAGTATCATCGTGTATAACGCTGAAAGATCTCTAGGCAGATTGGCAATGGCCTCTCGTATATCTGCGTCTGTCCTCTCAAGACACAGAGCTTCTATCTGCAGAGCCACCCACAGGAACATGCCCTCCGCTCCTTGGGAGAGGCTATCTCGAACGTCGAGGACAAGGGCAGGGTCGTTTATTACGAGCTTCCCACATTCAAGACATCTCTCTAGTTCGGCGTTGATGAAGGCATCAATGTCAGATTTGTTGGCTGTCACGGACCAACATCGCTGATTTTGAAGTTGTTTGAGTTCTTGCAGAGAATCGGCAGGCTCCGGCCTGACAGACACGCACAATGCAAGCTTGATCAATTTTTGGATCTCCTGTAAAGACTCCAGAATAACCTGTCGCACTTTTCCGTCGCAATGCATAAGACCATCAAGTACGAAAAGGGCCTCGAAGTGCGGCGGTAGCAGATGTCTTAGTAAAGTAAGAATTCCGTCAACCTCGAGTGATTGTTTGTCTCCCAGGACATCCCGTGCGGAGTCGAGATCGCTTTCTGATTGCAGCAGCTGTCGCGCTAGAGAGCCTATAACTGTTTTCGGCGTTAAGCTCTGCGTCGAATCGTGTTGGCAGAAGAAATACGCCACCACTGCTTTCCTTTCCAAATCCAAGTTCAAGTCATCCACCATATTGGCGAGAATCACGGATTTTCCCGATCCCAGCTTGCCTGTACATACGAGTGTACGCGACTGCAGCCCTTCAGAACCTCGTGGGGCCTTCCACTGCTTGTAGACCATTGAGGTCTCCAAGAGAGTGGTAGCACCGAGCTTGCGGATCCGCTTCCAGTCCTGTTCGTAGTCGTAGGTGGAGCACGCATCCAGTACGCGCTGGCGCGCTCTAAGCCTCCTTGCGTGGGATTGAGATTCAAAGCGTCTCGCGACCCGAGATCTAAACCATGAATTGTCTTCGGCCACCAGGGATAGTTGCTGAACCATCTGTAGGTTCACTTCTTCTTTGATGGCAGTAGCCCAGATCTCCAGGTCAGATTGGTAGCCTTTCAGAGCAGACGTGAACGTAGAAACCCACTGGCCTATAGCCGTCTTCCGACTCAGTTTCATAGCGTGATGGCACAATTGCACGACAACAATGAAATATTCCAGCATTGATGTTCTGAGACGTTGCGATGTAGGATAGACGGCGCCCATTAGTTGATAGCGAGGTGCAGAGCGGCCCACGGCCATGAGCATGGACGATAGTTGTTCAAAGTAGGTCGAGTATTTGACAATGGACTGAAGACCCTATCAGAGAGGCTTTCCACCGACCGACATACATGCTGCAGAATACTTACCAGAAGCGACATTCGTACCACAGCCCAGATGCCACAGGCTAGGAGGCTCTGCGATGCGCCCAGAACGATGTCCCCGAGTGCAGCGAACTCCTGCACCGCCTGAAGAATGCTCGTGAGCCGTGAGCCGAAACATTGTCCTCGAAGGCCAGCCGATCGGTTGATTTCTGCAGTCAATTGCATCACATCCCGGACACTTGGAGGGATGCCAGCGGCTTGGTATGACCGCAGCGTCGCCTTCTCCCGCGATGAGCAATCGGCTTGAAATTCGGAAATAGCCTGCCCCAGACGGACTTCGGGTTTCAGTCTCGCAGCTTTGGTAAGAGCGGTGGTCATCGTGGACCCGAGCTGCGGAACAAGTAGCAATACATCGACCACTTCAGGGGAGATGAAAAGGATGCAGAATCAGAAAAGGGAGGAAACAACAACACAGTGACAAGGCTGTGGTGTGTGTGGGGGAGATGAAGAAGGAAGGCAGTGCTTTGTGCCGCCACTAACAATGGCCAATCACAACACATCCCGGCTGTTCATCATGGGAATAGCAAGTACTACTAGGGTTAAGTAGTAGTAAGTAAGTAAGTACTAATCGAGAAGATGTTGGGTACGATCAATTGATGATAAGTAATCCCCTCGATGAATGGAGAATAGAAGAAGAGTACTACTTAAAGTAGTATGTGGATCGAAAGATGGTAAAGTAACCCGATCGCGGAACCAGCCTGAGCCCTGATAATAATGCGCATCCTTCGATTGGCCAACCCACCGCTGCTCCAACTATCGCAACCCTGATCCTGTAGGTATAAGCCAGTAATTGGGCTCTCCTGGAAAGATAGTGATCTGGACAAAGAAAACACCCATCAGGTACTAAGATCTGACCCATCCCAAAGCAGGAACCACACCAGGATTCCCACCAGTCAAGCTTAGTGCTGACACGCTTTCCTTGGAGTTAATTTTACCGCCTCTGATTCATGCACATATAAGTAGCTTAGCTGTCATTGTCGCTTGACACTTTTCAGAACCACCGTTTTGTGTCTCACTATTGCATTCTCCTTCCCCCCTGCAGCTCCCAACGCCGTCAGCCCGGTCGGCAATGGCTGAAATCAGCTTACGCACCGCCCTGGCCATCTTGGCCGGAATCTATCTCCTCTACAAACTCCTCTGCTTTATCCGCTTCTACATCATCGGTCGTCGCAGCGGCTATCCCCTAGTCGTGACCCCTCTGTTCACGCGCCATACACTCTGGCAGATCGTGGGTCCGACCTTTCAGGTACAGCTGAAGCGCTATCTTCCCACATGGCTCTACGAACATCTGGATATCCACATCCACGGGTGGGAGTTTCGCCACAAGAATGCTATGCATCGTCGTTATGGCAAGATTTTTGCCATTGTCTCGCCTGATGAGTGCTCTTTATGGTAGTCCATCGACCCTCGTCCATTCAATCTGATATCGTTCTGACCCCTTAAAGGATCGCCGACCCGACCGTCGGCGCAACCGTCTTGCAGCGACGCAAAGACTTTGACCAGCCCGACGTTGTAGCCAAATTCATGGGCTTTTTCGGACCAACCTTAATTCAATCCAATGGTGAAGACTGGACCCGCCAGAGACGCATCATCGCTCCCCAGCTTAACGAAGCCATCATGGGTGAGGTGTGGGAAGAGGCCTGTCTCCAGGCCCGTGCTATGCTTGAGTATCTCCTGCAGAATCCTGGCGGCGAGACCTTGACCGGCCTTCGCAGTATCGCCATCAACGTTCTCGGCCAAGCTGGGTACGGACAGAACCAGCCATGGTCACCTGACTTTGTCGAGACTCTGGGGCAGGACTGGCAAGACGCCAGAGTCTCGTACTTTAAGACGATTGCTATGGTCACGGACCGGTTCGTGGAGGCGGTCTTAATCCCAAACTCGCTGAAGGTGATGCCATTTATGCCCGAGTCGATTCGTCGACTGGGTCGCCAGATGTTAAAGGTGCCGGAATATGTCAGAGAGATTTTGGGCGAGGAGCGAAACACTAAATCAAGTGAGGTGTCTAAGAAGCGCCACAATCTGCTAGATATGCTTGTGCGATATGCGCAACATGGAACGGAGAGCTCTGCGAAGCTGTTTCTGTCAGAGGCAGAAATCAGCGGCAATCTCTTTCTCTTTACCGCCGCTGGCTTCGACACGACAGCCAACACAATGGGATACGCTGTGATGTTCCTCGCACAGTATCCCCAGTGGCAGGACTGGGTGCGGGAGGAGTTGTTTGAGTTGGACGCCGATGTTTCGTCTTGGGGATACGATGTGTTTGCTCAATGCCCACGAATGCTGGCTGTCATGGTATGTGATTCAATATAAAGCAGTAAGGAATGACTGCTAACCCTGACAGTATGAAACCCTCCGTCTCTTCACACCTGTCCTCCACTCCACACGCTGCGTGGTCACGACGCAGCAGATCGCCGATGCTGACGGCACACACGTGCTGACGCCCCCGATGGACGTGTTTGTCTCGCAGCAGAGCATCCACCGGGACCCGAATGTCTGGGGAGCGGACGTGGATGAGTTCCGGCCCACGCGGTGGATCAACGACGCCGGTCAAGTGGTGACCCCAGCGAAGGGCACCTTCATTCCGTGGTCGGGAGGGCCCAGAATATGTCCGGGCATGAAAATGTCGGAGGTGGAATTTGTGGGGACGATGGCGACGCTGTTCCGACACGCGCGGTGCGAGCCAATGCAGGAAGGAAAACTGCAGCAGCAGATGGAGGACTCGATATCAAAGTTGACGCTGCAGGTGAGGGAGCTCCGGGAGGTGCAGTTGCGGTGGGTGCCAGCTTGAATATCTTGACAAATGAATATGTCGATATCTACCATTAAGCCAATCCACCACAAACAATTGATCATACCCTAAACGAATAAGATCGATAAGATAGCAATCACCCACCATTTCATCCCGTTCATGGGTTCGGCCTTATGTCTCTAGACGAGCATGGACCAATCACACACCCGAGCATCCCGAATACTCGCAAACTCCCCCTCAAAACATACTAGTCTCTTTGACTCTCTCCTCTCTCCTCTCCCATCTTCATCCACCATCACCACCGTAAGCTCAATCTGGTGCACCGGTCCTAACAAGACCCTGATCAACCACTGATAAAATTCCCGATGTTTGTAGCTTAAACCATCCCCCCTTCCCAGTAGAAACAACACCATAGGATAAATATCAGCCCATCATCCCCCTCAACTACACCCAACCACCCATCCACAGCATCAACCCACACACACATACACACATAACCACAATGTCCCCTCCCCACCTCCTAACCACACTCACAGCCCTCCTCACCACCCTCCTCCTCCTCACCTCCTTCTCCCTAACAACCTACACCCTAACGACCTACCTCCACCTCGCGCACACCGCAACATCCCTCGTGCCGAAGGTCATCACCCACGACACCGCCATCATCGCCACAACATCCTACCATATCTTCACGACGATCCTGACCTGCCTCACACTCATCACGTTCTACTTTCTCTTCCCTAGATTCATCACAAAGTCAAGTGGAAACAGCAACCCCTCATGGATCCAAAAAGCACTGACATCCCTCGCAACCCTCCTTCTCACGACAAGTCTCCTCGCCTTCACGGTCATCCTGGCTACCAGAAAGATGTCCTTTGGGGACGTGGGCCCGCGTGTTACTGTCTATTTAGATGAGAGTTTGGGCGAGGAGAGTTTGCTTTATAGGGATGATGGGAGGGGGGTTGCCGGGTTGGTGGTCGGGTGGGTGGGTTGGTTTGGTGTAGTGGTTTTGTAAGTTTGCAATTCTGAGATGTGGGTGGGTGGTTGGGGATTGGCTAATTTTGTTACTTTAGGTGTGGAATGATGTTTGTTGGAGGGAAGGAAGAGAAGAAGGGAGATGGGATGTGGGTGGAGAAGGGGGAGGTGGAGGAGAGTAGTAGGGCGGAGAGTGTGTAAGTGTGTGTTTGGTGGATGTTAAGGGTTTGGAGGATGGTTTTGTGTGGGTGTGGTATGATACTGTAATGAGGTGATGGGTTATGAGTGATGTTCTATGTCTAGTATGATGGTATCAAAATATATTATGTCGATCAATATAGCACTACTAGTATACTTAGCTGTTTCTTGGCATATTGTTCGGTTGGAGTACTACTACTAATACTAGTACTAAATCGAACATATCTAACGCTGCACTCGGTAAATATCACTCATAATACTGACTTTGATATGAAATAAGGAACAATGAATGTAGTGCAGCGTAAACAGTGCTTTACCTTACTCTGTCTCCTAAAACTGCATAGTAAACGCTCATTCGTCTACTTAAAGTACATATGCAAGAACTAGATCAAATCAACCCATTCTAAAACACTGACACAGAGGCCAACTTAATGACCCTTGCTCACCACCTCCTCCAGCTTCTTCCGCACATCTCCGATCTTCTCCTCCATCATGGCCCGCGCCATACCGCTGTGTGCAATCCCCGTGTACCACAAGTGCTCAGCCTTCTCGCGCACCTGCAGATGCGTGTCCGCCACAGCCGGCACCTGCTTCTCGTACTCCCAGACCAGATCCGACACGTTGCGCATGGTCACGGGCAGCAGGGTCCAGGCAGCAACGGTACCGAAGGCCAGCGGGGACGCCGTGCGCAGGAGGATACCGCGGTTCCGCGACACGATGGAACCGGCCATGGCGGCCACAACGACGTAAACTCCGCCGGGGAGCAGGCGCTCGCCGGACTCGGGCGACGGGGCCAGGGAGGCGACAGTGTTGGTGAAGGCGTTCTCGATGTGCAGAGCACGCGACAGGAAGTTGTTGAACTTGGTCTCGACGGCCAGGGAGTTCTCGTACAGGAAGAGACGGGCCTGACGGACCTGAGCGGTCAGGATGTCGGTGGGAGTAGGGGAAGAGGGAGAGGAGAAGGGAGTGGACACCGGAGCTGCCGGGGTGGTGGTGGTCGGGGCCGGAGAGACGACGGGCTTGGAGACGGCCGGGATCTCGGTCGGGAAGTCATCGTAGATGGGTTTTTTCTGGACGTGATATCAAGTCAGAAGCGAATTCGAGCGAAAGCAAGCAGGGATATTCCGAGCACGCACAGCATCGCGAGGCTCCTCTGCAAAAGCCGTCTGCCGGGGGTAGAGGGCGATACCGCCAGCCAGAAGGGTGGCCGCGATGGGGGCCACAGCCCGCTGGAAGGAGTTAGCGGAAACTTCAAGTTGCAGACGGAAGAAACAGGAGCTGAGGGATTTACCTGCTTCAGCATTGGCCGGAAAGACATGATGGGGGAGGCCAATGGAGGGAAGAAGTGAGGGAGGGAGGTGGAAGAGAGAGAGGCTAAGTTGGAGGTTCAAGATGGAATGACGGCCTGAGGTCGGCCGCCAAGCCTTTTTTTTCGTGAGTTTGGCGGCTTTGCGGCTCGAGCCTCCGTCATCGTCCGCTTCTCTTTCTCTCCTCCCTCTTTCTCTTGACTTCCCCCTCACTCTCCTTTTATTATTCCACCACCGTTTCGTGTGGTTTAACTTCTACCCTTATTATTCTACCCATGGTATAATCTCCATGTCGAATTCCTTTCCCGTTGTCTCCCCCTGAACGCCATCATGGGAGCTCCTCTGCTGCTCCCACTCCGGCGTCGGCCGTGGACTTGCAGGACCTGTCTGCTGCAGGCCCGTCGCTCGCTCGAGACGGCCGCCTCGCCGGCGACTCATCGCACAGCCTTCGATTACCTTCCGAGTAAGAACGATGCCCAAAAGAAGTCCGATGACGACACTCTGCGCCGCGTCTTCGACTCGCAGCCGTTCTGGCGCGAATTCAGCCAGCGCAGTGCTGCCCACCTCAAACCTACCGGTCTGGTCCAAAATCAGTACCTGACCAGTCCCGATGGTTTCCGCGTCTTTGCGACCACCACCCTGCAGAAGTGCCAGGCCATCGTGGCCAAGGTGCTGGCCGGTACAACGCTGGAGGATTACCGGAGTATGGCCCGCGATCTCGACCGCCTCAGTGACTTGCTGTGTCGAGTCATCGACCTATCGGACTTTATCCGAGTCATCCATCCCGATCCGCGCGTGCAGGAGGCCGCGACGCAGGCGTACGCCCTCATGTTCGAGTACATGAACGTCTTGAATACGACTACCGGCCTCAACGACCAGCTGAAGAAGGCCGCCGCCAATCCCGAGGTTACGGCCCGTTGGTCCGACGAGGAGAAGATCGTCGCCCAGATCCTCATCAAGGACTTTTCCAACTCGGCCATCCACATGCCCCCGCATGCGCGACAGCGTTTCGTCAACTTGTCCAATGATATCAGCCAACTGGGAAATACTTTTGTCAACGCCGCCGAGCCGGCCAAGTCGCACGTGACCGTGAGCGCCAACAGCCTGCGCGGCCTCGACCCCATCCTCGTGCAGCAGATCAAGCGGTGGAACCGGACGGCCTCCGTGCCCAGCATGGGCCTGATTCCGCGCCTGGCGCTGCGGTCCGTCCACGACGAGGGCGTGCGGCGGGAGGTCTACTTGGCTACACGCACGTCGAGCGCCCGCCAGATCCAGCGGCTCGAGCAGCTGCTGGCCAAGCGCGCCGAGCTGGCTCAGCTCTCGGGCTACGACAGCTTCGCCCACATGACGCTGAGCGACAAGATGGCCAAGTCCCCTGAGGCTGTGTCTAACTTTTTGACCTCGCTGGTGGGCAGTAACCGACCCTACGTGCAGGAGGAGCTGGCGCAGCTGCAGAGCATGAAGGGATCCGCTGGTCGGTTGCAACCATGGGATCACGCCTACTATGTCCATCAACGGGTACTGCAGTACTCGCAGTCGCGCCGGTCGCGGGAGCTCAGTGCGGTGCCCGAGTTCTTCTCCCTGGGCACGGTCATGCAGGGTCTCTCTCGGCTGTTCGATCGACTCTACGGCGTTCGGCTGGTGCCCCAGGAAACGGCTGCCGGGGAGACCTGGAACTCGGATGTGCGCCGATTGGACGTGGTCGATGAGGCGGACCGCCACATTGCTGTCATCTACTGTGACCTGTTCTCCCGCCCCAACAAGCACCCCAACCCGGCCCACTACACGCTGCGGTGTGCACGTGAGATCTCCGCGGAGGAGGTGGCCGAGTGCGCCACGACGATGGATGCTTCCGCCCACCCCAACGATGGCATGGCCACAGCCGTTGACCGCGACGCCAAGACGCTCCGCCAGCTGCCGACGATCGCGCTGGTGTGTGACTTCCCGGAGCCGCCTGCGACAGGAACGGGTCGCCCGTCCCTGCTCAGCGAGCACAGCGTGCGTACACTGTTCCACGAAATGGGACACGCGCTGCACTCGATTCTGGGACAAACGCGCCTGCAGTCCATCTCGGGAACGAGATGCGCGACCGACTTTGCCGAGCTTCCGTCGGTGCTGATGGAACGGTTCGCAACCGCTCCCGAAGTGCTGGCATTGTACGCCCGTCACTGGGAGACAGATGCCCCTCTGTCGGAGAGCATGATGCAGCACATGGAGAAGGACCGCACTGCGCACGGGTCGATCTACGGCGCGATGGAGAACGAGTCGCAGATCCTGATGGCGCTGGTCGACCAGGCATACCACTCCCTCCCTGCCGGCCAAGCCGCCTCCATCGACAGCACGGCAGTCTTCCACCAGGTCTCTGCGGAACACTGCACCCTCCCCGATCCGGCCGATACTAAGCCCCCGACCTCGTGGCAGGGCTTCTTCGGCCACCTGCACGGCTACGGCGCCACCTACTACAGCTACATCTTCGACCGGGCGATCGCCAACAAGCTGTGGGAGGATGTGTTCCAGCAGGGCAAGGCGGCGGTGGATCGTCGGGCCGGAGAGCGGTACAAGAATGAAGTGCTGCGCTGGGGCGGTGGCCGCAACGGCTGGAACTGCGTGGCGGGCGTGCTGGGCAGCGCCCATCCCGCCAACGCGGATGGCCGACTCGTCGAAGGCGGCGACGAAGCCATGCGTGAGGTGGGTCGCTGGGGACTGGGACGCGATGGTGTCTCTGAGTAATTTCATTGGTCATGTGTATGTATATTATTCAGATACAAGTGACATAGGCAATAGATATCCCTGTAATGATATTCCATCCTACTTTAACATTCCAGTTTACAAACCTAGTTTATCTCACCGCACTACACCATACATACAATAGTATGCCACGCGAGCCTAATCTACAATATGCCGGTAACTATGCCGCCGTGGCACAAACGCAGCGCCAGTACGACCTTGATCGCACCGTTAATGCTTTCTGCATGTGAGATGCATACTGCACCCCCATTAATGAAAGAGGGGAGGCGGGATGAAACCTACCAAGACAAACTGCAGCATGCCAGCCCCTGCGATTGGCGGGATAGAAAGCAAGGTGGTGCTGCTGACTTTCTATTAAGGTATATGATAACCCGGTTTTTGCCCTTGATTTAGGCATCTGTTCTTATCCCTGTCGGGAGATCAACCAGTCTAGACTCGCACCAACTCCCTCCTAACCCTAGCCACTGAGAATACTGTAGTGCTGCTATGCTAATATTGGCGACTATCACGAGGTGAATTAACACCCTTGATGCTTGGCTAGGATACATGATTGCTTTGTTTGCTTGGTGGCTGACTGGCTTCTGACTCCTTGGATGGAATCTCAACTACCACTATATTTTCTTTCTTTCTTTATCCCTTGATAACTTCTTTCTTCTTTCTTTCTTTACCTACCTTCGTTCGCTCACCATAACACATAGCTATTCTCTACACTACTCAATCCTATTGATACATTCATACTATCAATCACAATGGCAACCGTCACCTTCAAAGACGACCTCCCCAACACCACCACCACCACCACAACTCCAAAGAACAAAACAACCACCCTCCGCCGCTGGCTCACCTTCTCGACCTCAACTTCATCATCCCATCGCCGCTCCTCCTCCCCACGCCCAAAACCAACCCGCAGACCTACCCCAAAACCCACCATTAACATCAACACCAACACCAATACCACAAGCAACAGCACAACAACCCGTCTCTACAGAAGAGTAACCCTCCCGCGCCGCTCCTCCAAATCCAAAACCAAGACGAGAACAATCCATCCTGATGACACACATACACATACACCTACATCGCTACTTACATCCATAAACACCACTACCAACACAGGCACACCCACAGCCCCCACAACAACAATAACAAGAGATACTACGAATCCAATCACACCCCCACCCACCAGCCCTACCTCCCCCTCAAGCACCAACAACAAAATCCGCTCCCGCTCTCCCCTCTCCCCCCTCTCACCCCTAAGTCTCAACTTCAGCACACTATTCAACCTATCCCCACGGTCGAAAACCATCGAGGAATCATCGTCATCGACATATTCATCCTCGGTATCGGAGATACATATCCCCCCGCCGACTGTCTCGCATGAGCAGCTGACGAGTTCGTATGCGGAGTATTGTGAGGCGTTTACGGAGGGAAGGACGGAGGAGAGTTTTCTGTATCAGGAGGAAGAGAAGGAGGAAGATGGAAATAAGGGTGTTCGGCCGGTGAAGGAGATTGTGATTAAGGAGGAGAAGGGGTGTTTGGAGGAGAGGTGTTTGGGGAAAGAGGGAGGAGGAGGAGGTGGTGGTGGGGGACAATGTGTGGAGGATACAAGGGAGGAAGAAGGAAAGGGAAAGGGAAATGGGGATGGTGACAGGGCTATTCCGAGCAGTGATGATCAGAGGGAGATTCTACATTGGATGCGGGAGTCGGATGAGGAGGAGCAGGATAGTGGCAGCAATGCTGAAGATGTACCGCTGCGGGTGTCTCCCCCCGCGAGGATCCTCACGCCTGCTCGATATGAACAATCGCGTCGGGCAGCGAGACAACCTCAGCATGGGAAGCAGCAGGAGCACCACGAGGATCAGCGACATGCGTGGTGGACTGCACTCCGGGTGGGGTGGACGCGCATGCGCCGCCGAACCAGCAAGGCTGCCAACCCCGACTACAATTAGACTAATTCCACGCTGCACTGCATAAGACAAGAATCAATCAATAAATTCGTGCAACGTCGCTAGCCCAATGGGATCCCCAGAAATGGCCGCAAGGGATGTCGATGCACCCGTCGGTTGCAATCACAAGAAACGCGCACACAGGGGTATCCCGAGCATCTTATTACATACAGCCTATGCCGATACAACAAAGGAAAAATGCCGCGACAAAGGAAATCTTCGTCCCCTCTATTCATAGCCTCCCCACTGGTCATGCAACATTCCTTCACGAGGATCCCTCGTCCGCACCCTGCTCCGACGCACTGCCTGCCTTCTCCGGCTGCGGCGTCGTAGACTGGCTGGGTGGGTTAGGCGTGGCCCGGCGCGACATTTCCGCCAGTTCGCCTAGGATTCTAAGACATAGTCAGTAATCGAAGCCCTCCAGAGATGTCAGAAGGAGGGGTCTTACCGTCGATGTTCGTCATACCAGTCATCGTTGGACGTCCGGATGTGCTTAAGCTGTTCCTGAATGCTTGCCATCTACCAAAACCATGCCAGTCAGTAACCATGCCGGGTCAGGGAACGGGCCGTTGTCAGGTAAAGGGATGAAAGTGGGGAAGTCCTGTGGTAGAGGACGAAGTTAAACGGGGCAGTCCCACCGTTCCCTGGATGGATGAGCCAAGATCCTCACCTTCCGCGGCCTCCTCCTTCTCGCCCGCCCAGCGGCTACCCTCCAGCCCGACCGATCCGCCCTGCGTATCCTTCTCGGCCTTCAATGCCGCCACCTCGGCCTCCAATTCGCGCACCCGCTTGCGGTTGGCCGCAATCGACGAGTCCACCTCGCCCAGCTGGTTGAGGAGGGACATGTTCTTGTCAATCTGGCTGTTCAGATCGCGCTCGCCTTGCTCCAACTTCTCCTCCATGGCCCGGTTCTCCGTCTTGCACGCCTGGAGTTCACTCGACAGGGTCTCGTGCTGGCTCTTCAGGTTGGACAATTCGTCCTTGGATGCGGCAAGTTGTTGCAGGACAGCTTCCAGCTCCGACTTGGCGCTCTCCGAAGCAGCAAGGGACTGCTCGAGCTCCGCCACCCGGCTGCTCACGGCCTGGTGTTGCTGCTCCAACTCGTTCTTCTCGGTAAGGATGGAAGAGAGATCGGCGTTGTGCTTGCCCGCGAGCTCCTTGGATTCGGCAGCAGACTGCTCGGCTTCGTTCAGCTTCTTCTCCAGATCAGCAATGGTCAGCTTCAAACTCTCAAGGACCGAAACATCCTGAGCGGCGGCGTGAGCTTCGGCCAGCTGGGCGTGGACCTCCGCAAGGGCGGCGTCGTGAGTCTTCTGAAGCTCCTCGATCTTGGCCTGGTTGGTAGCCTCTAGATCAGCCCGAAGGCCGGAAAGCTTCTCATCCTGAATGGTTAGGAGCTGTTCGATCGCTTTGCTGTGCTCAGCATCAGTTTCAGCGGACCGAGACGTCTGGAGGGATTGCAGTTCAGCCTGGAACTGGGCCTTGGCCTCTTCATGCTGCTGCTGAAGCTCGGCAACCTCCTTAGCACGGGTCTCGGTATGCTCCGCGATCTCCTGGGCATGGCGCTGAAGAGCGGACCGGAGCTCGGCCTCAAGAGACTCGATATGCTCAGCGTGCTTGGACTCCATGTCACGGAGGGTGGACATGGACACCTCGTATTTGGCCTGCAGCTCGCTAAGCGCCTGCTCGTGGGAACCGCTAGCATTGGTCTTGACATTCTCGAGTGCGACGGCGTGCTCGGCCTTCAGAGACTCGAGCGCCTGTGCGTGCTGCTCGGCAACAACAGCGGCTTCCTTGACCTTCTCCTCCAGCTCCCGGCCCGCAACGGCGGCCTTCTCTTCCAAAGATTTGAGTTGGCTTTCCTGCTCAGCATCCTTGGCCTTGGTCTTGTCCTCGAAGGCATCCAGGCTCTGCTGCAGCGCCTCCGCCTGCCCTTGCTTGCTCTGGATTTCGTCCTGAAGAGACTTGATCTCGCCCTGTCCGGTGGAGAGCTGGGACTCCAGAGCACCGACCTTCTCCTTGAGGGACTCGATCTCCTGGATGGCTACGTCCTGGGCAGAGCTGTTGCCGTTCTCGAGAGCTTGGCGGGCCTCGGCAAGGTTTTGCTCGGTAGCCTCCAGTCTCTGGTTCAGAGCATGCATCTCGGCTTGGTGGGCAGCATCAAGCTCGGCAATCAGCTCCTCCTTGTCCTCGGCAGCAGCAGACTCGGCCTCTTCGAGCTTCGCACGGAGTTCCTCGAGTTGCTGGGCGTGAGAGGTTCCAGCGGACTCAGCGGCCTCCTTCGCAGCGGCAAGTTCCTGCGCGTGAGCTGCAGCGGCAGCAGCCAACGCCTCCTCATGGGCAGCCTTCAACTGGGCAACGGCGGCCTCGTGGGATGCTTCCAGCTCCTTGACCTTGTCGCCAAGCCCGTTCTCAGCAGCCGCAGAAAGTGCCTGTTCGTGACTAGCCTTGAGATCCGCAATCGTGGCCTCGTGAGCGGCTTCGAGCTCCTTCTGCTTCTCGCCAACCTTGCTCTCGATCGCCGCAGTCAAGGCCTGTTCATGTTCAGCCTTGAGTTGGGAAATGGCGGCCTCGTGGGTGCCTTCCAACTCCTTGACCTTGTCGCCCAGTCCACTTTCAGCGGCCGCGGAGAGGGCTTGCTCATGAGTGGCTTTCAGTTCCGCAATTGCAGCCTCATGGGCAGCTTCAAGCTCCTTGACCTTGTCGCCAACCTTGCTCTCAACAGCGGCAGCCAGGGCCTCCTCATGTTCGGCCTTGAGCTGAGCAACGGCGGCCTCATGAGCGACCTCCAGCTCCTTGGTCTTTTCTGCGATCTGGGCTTCCGCATCCTGGCGGCCCTGCTCCAGTTCTACGTGCGCCTTCTCCAACGCGTCCTTGAGGTCGGCAATCTCCTGGTCTTTCTCGGCCATGCGGGCGGCCGTCTCCTCGTTGCCTTCGCTGGTCGCAGAACCCGCAGCGGCAAGCTGGCTTTCGAGCGATGTCACCTTGTCCTCCAGGGCTAGAATGGCATGTTTGGCAGCCTCCTCGGCGGCCCGAATCTCCTGCTGCTTGGCTTGGTCCAGCCGGTCCATTTCCATGTGCAGGTTTTCGACCACCTGGTCACGTCCATTGAGCTCGCGCTGGAGATCTTCCAGTTTCGCAAGGGTCTTGTCCAGGTTGGCACTCGCCTCGGTCAGCTGGCCTTTCTGCAGGTCAAGCTCGGCCTTCAAAGAGTCGACTTGCTCGGCATATCCGGCAGCTGCTGCCTTCTGCTCGGCAAGATCCTTCTCCAGCGCTTCCAGTTGGGCTTGGTGCGACTGCTTCAGTTCCTCCAGGGCCGCAGCAGTCTGGTCATCACCCTGAGCCGCGGCGGACTTGGCGGCGTCATCCAACTCCTTGACCGACTTCTCCTCCAGCTCCTTGTGCTTCGCCTCGACATCTTCCAACTGGGCACGCAACGCCTGCAGCTGCTCCTGATGGACAGCGGTCAGCTGTTCGATTTCGGCAGTATGCTGCTCACGGAGCGCCTTGGTGGCCTCATCGGCATTCTCGGAGGAATCGTTCGGGGCCAGAGACAGCTCGGTCAGTTTGAGGTTGACTGCATCCAAATCCGCCTTCAGGCTAGTCACCGTGGCTTCGCTCTCGGCCAGCTTGGTCTGAAGTGACTGCAACTTCTCCGAGTCTTCCTCGGCACCCTTGGGGGCGGTGCTCAACCTCTTGGAGGCGGTCGTCGCTGGCCTCGTCACCGTAGACGTGGGTCTGGTGGTGGTACGAGTAGTAGCGGAGGAGGAAGTAGTCGGACGAGAAGTCGAGGTGGTGGTAGCCGGCTTGGTCAGGGGCCGCACCGTGGAGGCCGTGCTAGGGCGAGTGGTAGATGTTCTCTTCTCCGCCGTAGTCGAGCCCGCAATGCTGGAACGCCGGTCCAGAGTGGAAGTAGTGGACTTGACGGGTGCTCTCGTGGCCGATGTACCAACCAGCGACATGCGCTTGGCGGCTGTGCTGGAGATGCCACGCTTCTCATCTCCGGAGCTGGCCACCGACCGGTGGGACTTTTCGTCTGCAGAACTGCTGACGGAGGCGCGGGACCGATGGCCGGCTGTGGTGGTGGTGGTAGAGCTCAAGGGCTTGCGGACCGTGGTGGTGGTGGTCGCGGGCCGGGTCGGAGGCCTGTTCAGGGTGCTGCCGTTGGTCGCGGCGGGGCGTGTGGTCGAAGTTGTAGTTCTGGAGGGACCGGACATGGAAGTAGGACGCTTGGTGGTTGTCGTTCCGGACAAGGGACGCCTAGTGCTGGTCGTGGAGGAGGGACTCTTCTTGACCGGAGAGGCCTTGACGTTCTCCTTGTCCTTGGAGACATCCGGGCTCGTGACGGGCTCCTCGCTGCCCGAGAGGATGGTCGAATCGACCGGAGTCGCAGGGGGCGCGATTTCCGGCTCCACCTCCGCAGGAGCAACTGGGGTGACAGGTTCCTCTGTGGACGCCATGTTGTGGAGAAGGAGTTCGTCTGAGATTGGTGTGCAGGGGGGAGGAAGGTTCGCAGCGTTCGACGTGGTTTAACTTTAACGAGGCAGTCTAACGAATTGGGAGCGTCCACGTTAGCTGATCCGACGAGCAGAAGCAAAGACGTATGCAAGATCCCCAAGATGGAGGGGGCGGGGAAGCGTTGGTGCGAGATCAATAGATATTGGAATGATGCAACCAAAAGAAAGAGCAACAGGTAAAGGGGGCAAGACTATGTGAAGAAGGTCTCCTGGGGAGGCAAAAAAAAGCACTTTTCAGAAAGTTGGCCTCGTGGAGGGAAGCTGCGACGGAATAGCCGAGGCGGGTCTCCTTTTTTTCTGGCAACTCCGCAGACCACAGCGCAACGGAGAGGATCACGCAACACAGGACTTTTGGGGAGTCTCAATGGCAGAGGAAAGTGCAGAGGATAATTGCAGGCAGCTTGGGGGGTGGACGACAAGAGTAGAGGGTTTGAGGGGGAGCAAAGAGGCACGGTGGCATGGTTCTTGCAGGACCCCGGAAGGCGT